TGAACAAAGCATCTCTTGAGAGGCATCAGTTACCGGATTAGGTACGCGGTATGAATCTGCATAGATATAGCTATAGATATATATCTGAATACTCTGTACGAATCAGTATGATTGATAATGTAAATGTCTTTAAGCCATTGCAGCTGTGTTTACTAACTGATATTTCAGCAATTATTATCGGAAATTGGGCCAAGCTAACAAGATTTTAAGAACATACGATTTAAGGCTTTTCTTTGTGGTTTTATTCTAACTTCAAGCCTATTTTGTGAGGGTTTCTTTTCTTGTTTTCCCCAATTATCAAAAGCCCACCTCCTTAAAATGCAATTGATCCCTTAGAGCTTCCGTGAGATTATTGACGCTGTGGTTGGCTGTTTGTGCTGTACATCAATGTCTGGCGTGTACCTGCTTGTTCGTCAGTGTTTAGCTCCAGGGCATCAGTCGGCTTACCATGGTCAATATCGAACAGATGCACAATGTCATAGCTAGACGCAGCCATGTTGCTAGCAGTTTCCTCTGGCGGCATGGCGGTGGGAAATATCTGCCCATTTTAAATAAGCAACAGTGCGCGGTCAGCTCATATATAGGTATATACATTTAGCTTACCTGAAAAACACGAGCGCTGTTAGAGCCGAAAGAGGCAGCAGCTGTAGAAAGAGCTTCAATGCCTTTGCCGAAAACAGTTCCATGCCTTGCAAGATTAACAATATGATGGCTTGGCTTGGATTGGACGTCATGATGTCTCCTTTTAGAGTTTTGATCACAAATTAAAGTCGCTGTGTTGGATGAAATCTGTGAACGCACACAAGTCCCCGATTTTGGCACAGGGCTTCTAAATATGTGTACCTAACGAACAGTGTTGGAAAAGGCATAGCCTACGTTTCTACTTTCAGCTGTTAACTTGGAAAATATAAAAAAAAGCTTCCTTTTTGTTTGTCCACAAGCGATAAATGGCTTAAGACATCACACAGCACCATTCAAGGCATTTCCGCTGCTCAAATAACTCTGGCAAATGCTCTCAAACTTGAGCCAAATTGTGATTAAATAAATATTTATATTGATTCGAATGTATCTTAGGCTTGAGCTTATGTAAGCACAACTAAATCCAATAGACAGAGATTCAGAGATTTAGAAAGCAAGTAAAATGCACAGCAACAGATCAAATCGAGCTTAAAGTTTTATTTGCTTGCGTGACGGCAAATTGAAAATGCACTTAATGAAGGCATTGCATATTGTAATTGAAACTTTGAAATCAAGGTAAAATATGGTGAATGCTGCATTTGCCACAGCAAATGGCAAAAATCAGTTGCAAGCTAAAAAAAAAAAACTACTGCTGAAAAAGGGGAATTTTAATAAATATAAATGACTTGAAATATTCATGCCACTAATTATATTCATGCCTAAATGAATATTCAACACTTAAATTAAATGCAACCTGTGCACGTTGCGTTTGCATAGAATTTCAATTAAAATTGTTTTGGCAAACTGTTGCCAATGTCGATGGCAGCCTACAGATGCCCATTGTGTCGCGCACCTTGCCAAGGCGTACAACGTTGCGTGTGCCTCTGGTGCCTCGCACCAGCTGACGAACAAGCGAACAAGCGAACATGCCCGGTTCGCACATCTATGCTGGGTATAATTGAATATGCCAAGTATGCCAGCAAATGCTTGACAAAGGGCTGACGCATCAACATATTGACTAGAAGCTGACAGCGTTTTTTCCTAATGAATTCTCGGCTCCAAAAACAGTAACTGAGCCAACCACATTTACACGTGTGAGCATCAAGAACAACAACAACCAAACAAACAGCAACAAAAGCAACCACAACAATAGAAATCAAAGCTAAGAGAACGCCTCCAATTACACTATTCGACGTTGTTATGAATTTTAATTAAGCCTAAAATAAGCAAAAAACACCAAAAAAAAAAAAAGAAAATTTACTTTTTGTAGTCATCTCATATGACGTGAGTGGAAAACGAATACGCAGCAGCGAATGATGTTGCCTGAAAATAAGCATAAACAGCAAAATTCTGTAAAAATTAGTGCAAATTGTATGGTCCGAATTGCATTATGATTAATTACAAATGAATAAATGACCACAATACCCGCTCATTATTATGCTGAAATTCGCAACAAAGCCTCGGGTCGTGGCTATGCAAAACCAGCTGAACCGAATCCAGTTCGAGTCCTGAATTATTTTAAGGCCTGCAGCTGCGGTTTTCGATTTCCTCAATGCGCACAATGTACAACAAAATTTGGTTAATGAAATTAAAAAATTGAAACAAACTGTACTTTAAATTTCGACCTAATCAAATGAGTTCGTGAAATGCGCCTGAAGTCAAATAAAATGTTTAGGAACTTTACAGGGTATCTGGCAGAGCGGAAATGATGTTGCATTTGGCAACGGAACAGGCCCATTCAAATGCAAATAAAAACATGATCAATTGTTATTGTTTCATATTTGCTGTATGTGTCTAATATTTATGAACTGCCGGCGACGGCCTAAAAAGTTAAGTTGATTTAGTTGCGGCCACGTTGCGTATACGCAATGCATGACAAATTACGGGCGCATCAATAGCGACCACAAGAGTTGCATTAAATTAGCATAATTAGCACATGGGCGAACTGGTGACAGCTGGCAACAATTGCGCAAACAAATGCAGTTAATTATAGAATACACATTTTGGCAAAATGGCCAAAATGTGCGGTCCATTCTCGTAAAAGTACAATTAATATTCATAAAGCAGCCAAGCTGCTTTTAAGTGCTCGCTACATTTTTCGCGAAACTTTTGTTCGCCAACTTTTTAGTTAAAAAGTACGAAACGCGACGAAAGACCATTTGCCACTGCACTTAGTATACATATATAGATGTGTGTACATATTCTTGATAAACATATTGAATGAGTAAGATACTTAAGAAAGTGCATTCTGATCGGCCTCAACCATTTAATATTCGCGCTTTGAGTTAATAGTTGAACACACAAAAGTTGAAACACATTAAGTGCATGCGAGTCTTACAAATTTGAATTCTTAATAGACAACAAGGCTTGCAGTTTGAACCAGCGACTCTGCCTAAAGCCTGATTCGTCAACCTGTCTTTACATGTTCATAACTTTTTGTTCGAATATTCTTTTAATTTTTAAGTCTCGAGCTTAAATTGATAATACAAGAACAATTTGCCGTAGTGCGGCTTACGGTTTGAACCAGCAACTCGCCCCAAAGCTTGTTTTTATTGTTTAAGTAAACAGTAAAACAATCATTTAAATGAATAACTACAAGTTTTTCGCTATAAGATTTAATAATTGCATATGCGAAATGTCTGCCGCCTGTATTCGCGTTATATTTCTATTTTTATATTTGCCATGGTATCAAAAGCGAATTCAGCCATTTGCTTGTTTATTTTTTAGCATTTTCTGAGAACGGTTTGTGGCAGCGTTTTGCCTGCGGATGTCGCACAAAGTTAGCGTTTGGGGGCAGCCAAGCGTTTTCATAACAGTTGCTAATGCAGCTCATTAAAATGCTGAGACCACAGCGCTGTAATACAATTCAATTCTGGCTGTCTGTTTGGCTGCCTGTCTTACTGACAGCAGTTTCAAGCGGCAAATGTATTTTAATTGGAGCTCGGCGCACATGCCACATGCCATATGCCACATGCCACTTGCCACATGTTGTGACTTTAGTGCTGATTGCAACTACAGCTCAGCTGTCAGCCTGCTAATTGCCCAGCCGTCAGGTGTCGCCGGAAGTTGGTCGCAACAGCGAATCCCCAGCGCAAGCACCAACAACATGGTCAACAAATTGTTAACCAGAACTTTTGACTGCGGCAACGTCAACAACTAAGTACACCACTTAGAAATTTCCATTTAAATATTCAACTATTTGCCAGCGACTTTTGCTGGGGCACAAATCAATGAAGCTGCTACAAAATGCTGCAAGCACGCAAATGTGCAGCAGCTGCTTCAGCAGAACTATTTTTAGACGGAACTAAGCTCAAACTACTTCAAGTGCACACAGCCCACGCACATACGCACATACGCACGGACAGACACTCACACCCACACTCAAGCACACGGACAGGCATTGCATGCACATACTCAAGTGAGGCACATGTATAGGTAATATTAATTAGAATGCCACATGCCTCACGCTGAATGCGCAGTTAATTAAGCGTGTTTTGACAAGTAGCCAAACCCACGCGCCGCCAGAGTTGCCAGACTGTGCCACGCTTCAATTCAGTGCAAGCAAATGTTGCGTAGAACAGCTTTGCTGTCCGCATTCCGCATCTTCGGCGATTTTGCAACACTATTTTTTAAGGTTCGACAGTTAAAAACAAGTACATAAAAGTGCTTAAGGAAGTGCCCGGAGATGTCCCCAAACACCTCAGAAAGCCCACATAATTCAGCTGACATTAGAAACATTCTAGTTTCTTTCGAGACCTTCACAATTATACACAAACAGAAACAGTGCTTCTTCTTCGCATAATTCCATAATATTCGTAATGCATTCTTGATTATTTTCCGATTTTAATGGCATTTATGGAGTATAAGTACGACATTGAAATGCATGTAAATACCAAATCCCAAGGGAATAACTCAAACTATGTAGGTATTCCAATTTTGGGAGAGTTATTGAAAAATTGATATACTCTGTATCTATGTATACTATTCAAAAAACCTACATATCGAATTTGGGTATAAAAAGTGTTGTTTGGGGGGAAAACACAGCATTTCGTCTGGAAAGGAACATTTGGGACAAAAACCTAAACCGAGGCTGAAAACCAGTTTCAGTAAATAAACATAAAGCCGTTCCATTGATTTGCTCCTGTTTGGTTTTGTCAGGCTTTTGCCAAGTTCAACATTTGAGACAGAAGCTTGAGTGAAGTCTGAAAACGAGTTTCTGCTGGGCTGCCAGGCTATCGCCTAGGTAGATAAGAAAGCGATACACATAGCTTTTCATCAATAAATCTCTTGCCGCACTTTTAACACCGGCTCGCCTTTTCCAGAACCACCCACCGGGATGAGTTTGGCACTCAGCGCGTTTATAAGAAGACTTCGCCGAATTGTGTGCTAACTCTCTATTTGCCGACGCGTGAGATAGTGTTGACCGGCAATAATCCGTCTGTGCTGCGTGGAATAGTCTTTGTGGATCCGAAGGCCATTCAAGGATACCGCGTCTATGCGCAGCTAACGCTAACATTTCGGTAAGCCACAAATCCTGCACCACGCACCACGCAACCCGCAGCCCGAACGACGCGCCCAGACATACTTTGAAATTGAAATTGCAGCTCTTCAGTCGACTGACAGCTCTGGGCGTTCCAGGCATAGCACATAACACATAAATAATTGTACGGCCTGTTTTCATTGCAGCTACGGTCGCGAGGACGAGGAGGTAATGGGTCTGCGTTTCTGCAACGAGGCCATTATGTCGCTGCATCAGATTTGGCCGCGCCTCGAGGAGCCGTCCCCTGAATCGCTCAGTCCGCTTCAGGTAAGTTGCAAGTGAACGTTGCAATCATTGTAATTGAAATTATCCAGTGCGCTACAATCCCATGCACTCCCCTCACGCTCTTCCTGTTACGTGAGTTGGCCAACAGCTGCCTGGCTCCGTCCGCCCCAGCCCGCCCCATTACCTGGGCCGTCGCCTGGCTGAAGTGTCAGTTTGTCTGCTGTTGAGCAGACACTTTAGAGGCGACGAGTGCGAGACGAGCACTCGGTAAACAAGTCGAGCACTCGTCGAGCAGCCTTCCAGCACAGCTAGTAAGGGCTAGGGAGACGGCAACATGCAACTTGGCTATGAAGTTTCCAGCGCCATTAAAACTGATAGGCAACAACTTTTTCCAACCAAGTCTAGTGGGGAACAGCTCAAGCGTTGTGGCAGCTTTGCAGTGCAGCAAAAGAAGAAAACTGCTAAATGTGTGACAGAGAGAGAGCGAGAGAGAGAGAGAGAGAGAGAGAGCGAGAGAAAGTAAAAGTGACAAAAGAGATATATGCATAGAGCGAGAGAGAGAGAGAGAGAGAGAGAGTGAGAGTGAGACTGAGCGGGAGAGGGAGAGCCAGCGACTGTAACTGCCTCTTGATAAATGAAGCATACTTTTCTGCATGTTTATACGCTTGAGAAGTGCGCTTAATATGTTATCAAGCTGCGTATTTGCTAATTACAATTTTTGCGCAGCTTTTTAATTTGTTTGCTTTTGATTTTAAGCCCAATATATGTATATATATATCTACATATATATCTATATTCATATATACAAAAGAATTTGTCCGTCTGAGCACACTTTAATTTGAGCAGAAACTGCCCTTTAAAAGCGAACACTATGACGTGTTTCTTTTAAATGCAAGCCCCTGCTGCGCAAAGTAAATTTGTATAGTATTTAACCAGAATGCTGCCATAAACACATATTTCAGCTCTGTCAGCTTAACATCAAAGGAAAATCTTCTTCTATTCAAATTCAGCAGAAATTTAGAAAATTATGCCTGTCCTTTTTAAAATGTTCCTTTTGTTGTAGTTCATTATCAACCATGAATGCAGTCAACTTATGAATTCCATGCAGACATACCTTTGGCAAGAAATGTGATGTAAGCCCTTGCTATTTTTGGATTAGGATTTGATTTCCAAAATCCCAATCGATAGTCGCGATTCGTACGACTCCAAAATGTTATATCATTTCAATATCGGAATGTAAGTAGTCGAGATATTCCAATAAGACTTTAAACATTTTCAGTCAACCCGATTGGCGATCACGACTATGATTTCTTTCCAAAATCGGACTCTGTTGGAGATATTCCAAAAAATCATTACAAATTTCGGGAAACAGAACTGTTTGGAAGACAACATTTTTGAGAAATTCATCCTATTTATAAACACTTTGCTTGTAAACAGTTTTGTAATTAATACCTGTTGTACTTTCGGGCGTGAGTAATTTTTCAAAATTGCAAGCACTTTGAAATTTATGGCGTTTCCTTTGCGACTCGTATTAAGGTTTACAATTGTTGTTCGCCTTTGTTCAGATTTAATGCGAACTCACGTTGCTTCAAAGCATGCTGCACGTTTTCTCAGGGGGGGGGGGGGGGGGGGGGGGGGGGGGGTGGTCGGCCAAGGTAGTTGTTTTCCCATTGAAAAAAGGGTAACAAATTATATGTTGGCATTGCGCAAACGTTTGTGACAGGGAGAAGCAGGACAGAAAAAGCTGAGTCTGTCTTTCTGTGTAAACGAAACCATCTTGCAAACTACAAAAGCCAGGGAATTCTTATTTAAAATATATATTTTTTCGTTTACGATACGCAAAACAAGTTTATTGCAAACAAAATTTTTTTATACAATATCTCCGCCCCTTGGCATATTATCGATAAATATCGATTTAGAGAATTGGGCTTTGAGTGTAACAAATTGTGTAGATTAATATTATAGATAAACCATAACCAACTCTTACTCTTTTACCCTCAATTCAAAACAAATTACTTTTAAGGGTATAGCCTAGCACAGTGTGCTGCCATATTTATGCGCTGCAAATTTCATAAGGCTCGGACCATAAATACCGAAGTTATTCAGGAATTAATGTTCGTCAGGTCAGCTTGTTTCTTAGGGTATCTGCCAGTCGGGTTACTTCTGCTCAGAGCAGCCTCTCTGGTTTTCTTGTTATTGCTATGGCTATTGTGAGTTCTCCTCTTAAACTTCTTTAACTTGTTCGCATTTTTCTGCGTTCGTCGTCTGCGCCACATTCCGCTTGTTCGTCATCTATTTAAAGATGGAGGTTTGCTGCACTTAAACCAATTGAAAATCAATTTCATTTAACTAAAAGCGAAACAAATGTTTGCGATTCCCTTTTACATTGTTTTCCGATTGCTTCTATCTGTGTGTGTACGTGTGTGTGTGTGTGTGTGTGTGTCCATTGGAGAGTCTATCTGGAGAGTCTATCTGTGTGTGTGAGTGTGTGACAGAGATGGCCCCCCAGGCGAGTTTCAATTTGAACTTTCCCTTTTATTAAATTTGACATGCAATCATTTATTTAGCCATCACATTTTTGACAGCTAAACTCACCGAAAATTTGGTTAGGCAATCAGTTTACTGTTTTTGGTGAGTTCCGAGCTTCCATTTTTCAGTTTTCAGTGTTTTCTCGCTTGTCTTGACCGATTTGCATAATATATTTACTCACTTATTTACTGCTGGCAGTAGCTTTTACTGCTCAGAGCCTAAAACAGAAACATAAACACACGGACACAGGCACAAACACAAACATGCATAATTAAATAAATTTGACTTTAATAAGTTGCCGTTGCCGGAAAAACATCAGAACGAACCAGGGGCAAAATATCTCGGAAAATATTCTTGATGGTTGGGCGGAACGTAAAGAGACAACTGGCTAAGAGGTTGAGTGGAAAATTGTTTGTGTTTATGTAGACGGACATATAAAGGGAATTTGATAATAAATTGAAATTAATCAAATATGCAGCTTAATAGATCTTAACTGCCTTGGCTAAGCTGACAATCGAACATAGATCGATAGACTGCTGAACCGATAAACAATGAAGAGCGTACAGTTTAGCTTATTAAAATAATACTCAGTGCATACGCAGTGTTGGAAAAGGTATTAGGAGTATGAGTATAAGCTGCGGCCTTATTATATAGAGCAGAGTCTCTTGAATCCCCTGTCAGTAATTCACTGCAGACTTTCAACGTCTGAACTGCCTAATCCCTACACATATTTATTATGAACCATCATATTTATTATGCTGTTTTCTTAATGCTTAGCCATCTACATAGACATCTTTCGAGCCTGTGGGCCTTGTGCGTCCATGTCTGACAATTGCGGCTTAAGGAGGCGTAGGGGTATACTTGCGTGGCTGTCCATCCCTCCTCTAATTGTGTCCCTCTTCACCCGTAAATTGCGCTGAAATAAGAACAAAACGTTTACGGAGCCAAACAATTTAAGCTATGGAATTGTCTTTAAATACTTTCCATTGAGCTGCCGCACACATTGTAAGGCGAAGTCATTGCCAAGGCTGAGCGTAGGAGCGGGCGGGTGTTGCGGCAGCAGGAATGGCCTCGTATCTGTTGCCCATTGCCGCACGCTGCTCAGCTGACGATACACACAGATACACGCGCCAGCGATAAGATATTTAAGTATAAATCCAAGGGCAGCGCCAGGATCACGGCCACGACCACGACCAGAGCCAGAGGCAAAAGCAGAGGCTGAGGCAAAACCAAAGGCATTTGCAGATACTAATACAATACTGAATACATAATCAAATGCAAATGAAATGCCAGAAACAGCAAAAGAAATAGCACAAAAACCATTGTTATCAAAGCCAAAACAAAGCCCACAATTTCAATGCCCGCGCCACTAATCACAAGGCCAAAATGCATAATTAAAAACTAAATATAACCTCAAATATATGCATATATGTATTCCACATCTGTCCATAAAAACATATACTATATATAAATATATATGAGTGTAATATATACGTATGTAATGCACATGGCAAAACGTTAATTATGTGCTTATGTGACAGCCCGCATTTGAATAATTGGCTGCGACTGTCAGCTATTTAAGCCTTAACTAGTTTGGCCCTGACCTTGGCCTAGACCACGACTTCTGACCAATTTCAGGTAGTAAATGCCCGGTGGCGATAAGGATTTATTATAAAAATCAATGAAAATGCTAAATTTCAATTTGCTGACAAATTTTACCAATGCGTTTTATCCGGTCCCTGAATCTCCGGCCTGACTACAATCTCTGTACTTACAGGAGGCATTGATGAAGCGCCTGGGCGATGGGGCCCATCCATTCACCCTGACGCTGAACGCCCAGGCACCACCCAGTGTCCAGCTAGTGCCGGCCAAGCGTTACTATGGAGCTCCCATTGGCACCAGCTACGATGTGCGTTGCTTCATTGGTAAGTTTTTTGATTAATATTTCAATATGGACTCCTGTACATATATCCATTTGCTCCGAGGACACCGGAACCTGAAGAGCTCAGGTGATGTATGGCACAAAGGTAGAGAAATTCCATCAGAAGGCATAAGCAAATATTGATAAAGGGGTGGGCTGCACAGTATGAGTATGAAGAAGACAAAAAAAAAAAAAAAATAAACATCTTAGATTTTCTGATGGACATTTTTTTTTAGAATGACACTTAGTGAAAGTGTCGCCAAAGCTGTGCTTAGACTTTTGGGCTGTAAAAGGCGCTTAAAACTTAAACTTAAAAAATCGAGTTTCGGTTAAAGATTTAGGTTTCATCCTCAGTAGGCCTAACATTTCCGAAAGCTTACACTTTAAGTTTGGACTGTAAATCTCGCTTAAAGCTCTTTAAAGCTTTAAACAATATCAAACGTGTACAAATCTAGTCTCGCTTAAAGCTTTAAGCTATTTTAAAAAGCTTTCGTTTTAGATTTCGGGCTGTAAACGGCGCTTAAAGCTGATTAAAGCTTTAAATGATATCAAGCATATATAGCTCATAAATCTAGTCTAGCTAAAGCTTTTAGTTTCATTCTAATGCATGGGATTATTATGATTAAATTAAATTAAACAGCAGTCGAAAATAAACCTTAAGAATAAGTCTTGGAATACCAAAGGCACAATGTGCGTTGTATGAGTTGTTCCATGGGTTTATTATGCTATAATGAAGTAAGTCGAAAGTGAAGCTTACGATCGAACTTTGGAAAACTAAAAGCACAACTAAGCAGTAAAGAGAGAACCTTTGCAATGCTTTACGAATTCAAGAAAGCTTCAACACAATACACTTTACCTTTAAGGCACGATAATATTTTTTAAAATATATTATTTAAAATAAATCTTTCTCTGTTAGTATTAACGAAAGGGTAAGTATTATATGCATTAAAAGTAGGTAAATTTAATTAGATGTTTTTTAGCCTGTAAAATTTGAAAAAATAATATGAATTGCGAAGTAAGCGCAAAGCTTTTAGGTTTGCTTGGATGGGCATTATGAGTAGTTAGACATTATAATTAACCAGCATACATTTCCTTTCCTCCATTTATCATACATCATCAAGCCATTGCCAGCGCTTATTGAATCGTGAGTATCGAGCATCTAGCATCGAGCATCGAGTATTGAGTTGTCACAGCTACAAGAAACGACATAAGAGAGCGAGCGAAAACGATGCCCAAATAATTTGGCAATCAAACAAGTTTCACAGCTCATTTATATAAATGACCACGCCTCCACGCACAAGAAAAGAATCTATGAAAAAAGAAAAACAAGGGTGTCAGAAAAAAAACGAAAGCAAAAAGATCCCAATCCAGCATTTTCCAACACTTTTCCGCTGCTCCTGACGCCAGCAGAGTGGATGTGAGAGGATTGTTCTTTTCTTTTCCATTTTTTGATTGATTTTGATTTAGTTTTTATATTTCGCTTTTTCACCGACATGGACACTATGGGGAGCAGCTCTGGTATTCGATCTGGTGTGTACAGGAAAATTAATATTAAATGTAAATGCCGACCAAATAGACGAGCATGCTTGACCGCGTGATACCCTGCAAGCCGTGAAAACAATACATTAAGCGGAAATTTGAAACGAATTTATTAAAATCTGAGACGAGATCGACGACCAGCTCTAAGCCAACTCGCATTTTGATGCTGATAAAAGGAATATATAAGTGCATCTTACAGGCGTATTTCTTCCTATATTTGCGTGCAGTTTGGCATACCCGTTTTGATGAATTAATCGCTGCAGGATATACAAATAGAATCAATATTAAATGCATGCTGTAGACCATTGCGCGGCTGTTTTACTTTCGGCCGATGCCCACTCAGACTCCACTTCCGGCTGCGATTTGCGGAGCTGCTGATGCTTTTTGTCTGGTTTTTCCATTTCTATTTCCCTTCCCTTTCCATTATTTTTTTCTTCTCTCAGTTTTTCTGTTCAATTGCCGCCAGGCGTTGTCCGCGTTGCCTGCTTGCGTTCCCGCTCCATTGCACCATTGTCTTTTGGCAGTTGGCAGGTAACTGAAATGAAATGAATACTTACCTGCGTGTAGTTTATCATAAAACCGCCTGAAGGACAATCCAAACCGCTAGGTCATAGACCAAAAGCGTCTTCAGCTTTCGTTTCTCTTAAAAATAAAATAATAATAAAATGAGTATGCATTTTATTTTATTATTATTTTTTTTTTTTTTTGTTTGCTTACACAATTCAATTAAAGTTTGATTTAAAAACGAACACTTTCGAAAATTGTATCTGCTTTTTGTTGCAAAATAACAATGTTGACATATATCGGCTGGAATAACAAAGGAAATGACAAATTCTGTTTAATTTGTGGCAGCTACTGGTCAGGCGGCGCCCTCTGGCGGTTGTCAGCGACAACAAAATGTCACATGACTGTAAGCTGGCCCGCTCAACTTCCTGTTTCCTGCATTTCTCTGGTTAAATTGCATGCCCCAAGTCCAACTGCTGTTCGACAGCTGAAATAATGCGAGAAAAAAACTAGTTTTGAACCGGTTTTGAAACCGTTTTGAGCCCAGTTTAACCGGAATAAATCCCCATTGGTGAAAACGGCTTTGAGTTGGGCTTAATACGGTTCGGAGTCGAATTCTAGCTATGTTTGGAGCTGCGCTTCTTTTCGACTGCACTCTTCTTCTAAACCGTCTTATTCTAATTGGTTACATCAGAAATTAACAACTTCAACTGGGACTCAGATAATGAAATGCCCCTGCATACATATGGCGATATGTTCAAAAAACCCCGTTGCTCTTCGAACAGGTCAAACGTTAAACTTTTATTTGGTTCGCTTTCTTTTCCAATTTCAAACATAAAACTATTTGGTTTATTTTGCTATGGTTTTGATGTTCGGCTTGGTTCAGGTTGTTTTTTGGACGCTTCAAGACTCGGCACATGGTTATGAACAAATTGGAATTCTGGTTTCGCATCGGTTGGCTGTAGAAACGGCTTGCAGCCTTGGCTACTATGGCGGCTATATAATATATATTGGTTCGATCCAGTTGATTGACATCTGCACCAAAATGGCTGGTCTATGACAAGGCTTTGAAGAAAAGAAAACATTTTTTTTTTGTTTGTAGTTGTCATCAATTTAAAATATAGTTATAACTAAAGTTTTGGCTATAAATTTGTGTTCCATTTAAGTGTTTCGATTCCCACTGCGATACGGTCTGTACTTCTTATTTTAAAAATGTTTCCTCTTTTCCATGATTTTAAACACTGCAAAAAGCAGTAAAGTGTGACCAGTCCTCTTGCAGCTTATTTTGGACGAATCGCATTTGGTTTGAAATTTACTTGCAGGCCTCGCCCTAAAATTAACAATCAGCATTTTTTTTCAGTGTGCCATTTGACAATAAGAGACATTGCAGTGTATTGAATCGTTTGGACATATATATCCACATGTGCCTAGGATACAGATATATATATATATATATATATATATATATATATATATATTTAGATAAGGAGCACTGATCGCGTGTTGCACAACATTGAAGCGGAATCCACGTTTGTGCTATCGTCTGTGTTGATATAAAAATAAAATATATATATATAATTAATTTTTTTTTTTTTGTTTGTTTGTTGTGTGTCCTGTGTGTGCCCCTTGTCGTTTTTAGTGTCTTATTGGATGTATTGTTCATGCATATTGCACTTATCGCACCCAGTTCGCAAACGTCGGCAGCCTCAATGAGCTGATCCACCAGTAGACAAGGGGCAGAGGCCGAGGCAAAGGCAGAGACAGGGGCAGAGGCAGAGGCAGAGACGGGTTCAGAGAGCCAATTTTCTGACCAGATGTGCAACGCGGTTGCTGCGTCGCTGTCGCTGCTGCTGTCTGTGCAACCCGGTTCGAGGTAAGCAGGACGATGTTTGACTTTGCCACAGTGTCCTGTGATGCCTGGCCATGCATTGACTTGTCGTGTGATTTCCTAACTTAGTATTGTCTACGTATTGATGTCTCGACTTCGTTTCAGTTCATCTATTCAGTTCGTTTTCTTGCTGTCTTTGTGTGGATGTAACTTCAGGTGTGTCTGTGTGGATGGATGTGTGTGTGTGTGTGTGTGTGTGTCCGTCTCTCTGTCTGCTGTGTGGGTGTCTGTGCGTGTGTGTATGACTGCCTGTGTGTGTGTCTGCCTGTGTGTGTGTCTGCCTGTGTGTGTGTGTGTATGTCCGTGTGTGGGAATGTGTGTCGGTCTGTCTGTCCGTCTGCCTCTCTTTCTGTCTGTCTGTGTGTGTGTGTGTGTGCATTTAAATATATGTAAGTTTTTTAGGCAGTTCGACTTTATGTCGGCTGTCTTTTCATTGTTGTCGCTTCATGCCTCTAAACTCACACAATCCAACCTAATGTCTCTCTTTCTCTGTATTTTTCTCTCTATCTGCCTTTTTCTATCTTTTTTTCTCTCTCTTTTTCTATTTATCTTTCGCTTCTTTGCATTGCCTACCTTCTGTTCTCATTGCTTTTAACTGTGAATGTTTTTATGTGCCGTTTTAGTCCCATTTTCCTATGTTTCTGTCAAAGTTCATGTTAGCTGTTATGAAGATGGAATTGGCAAAATAAGTACTAAATTACATTCGCATTGCAAAATTGGCAGCATCACAACGTAAACATGCAATGCTAGCTGGTCACACTGTAATCAAGCTTTAACAGGCTGCTAAACTTCCTGGTAAATTTATAATGTGCACTACTCAACAAACAGTTGCTATAACTTTGACAGCATGTTCAAGTGCTTGCCAGGTGGAACATAAGAAAACGGGTCAAAGCGGCCAGCCGCCTGCCTCATAAGCTCACAAAAAGCTGACAGCATTGGCAATGTGCATTCAAATTCATTTGGCATTTGGCAGTTTGAGAACAAGACGAACGTACAATCAAGCACAAAATTTCATGAAATTCATAAACAATATTAAGCAGCTGCGATACTAATGAGCTTAGCGAGCAATGGCAGCGGCAACAGCAGCGCCAGCAATGTGCATCAGTCAGCTAATTGACCCCAATGGCCCTGCCCCATGCTCTCTTTTTACAGCCGACAAAACGGACGAGAAGTTCCATCGTCGCGCCTCTGTCAAGATGGGTGTCCGGGTCATCTATCGCACCGATGTCTTTCATCAGCACACGGCGCCCGCCAACTTTGCCGCCTTTGCCGGCCAGCCTATGGCATCGGCTCAATCGCCGCCGGCTAGTGCCACGCCACCGACAAGCAACGATGGCCATGCAACAACATCTGGCCAGGAGCCGGGTCCATCCACCAGCAGTGGCGGTGGCGCTGCCGGTTGCGCTGGCTGTGGCGGCGCCAAGGTCAAGTCCAAGTCGGAACGCGGCGAATCGTTTCCCAAGTTGCGTTTGTCGCCCAAATCTTTTAGGTTCAGCGGTCGCTTTGGACGCAGCAAAAGCGAAGTTGAGAAGTGTCCCAACGATCCGTTTCATTGCTACAGCAAGTCATTCCAGGAGGTAAGAGAAAGCAGCTTCTATATTTTTGGTCAAGACCTAATGATTGCATTGCCCGGCTTTGCGCGGGCCAAGGCTTGTTCAGTCAAAACTGAGGCATGAGTTTTTGTGGCCAAGATTTTATAAAACCTTGTATTGAATTCCACTTTAAATTCAAGGCAGTGACTTCTGTGAGAATTTCTGCTTTTTAGCTCTTACGCCTTGGGCTTGATCAGCAATCAATCAATCAATCAATCAGTCAGTCAGTAATAATAATAATATGTTCACAGCTAACAAACGTTAAGCTTAACTGTCATTTAATCCGCAGTGTTGAAAAGCGCATTCTATATATATTTTTGCTATAGATAAGCGACTTATCGATTGGTGTATCGCACTACGATAGATACTTTATGATAGTTACTACAGAATTGTAGCTGTGAAATGCAAAAATAAATGAATTTGCATAGACTTAAGAAATGCTCAACATAAAAGAATGTTTTTATCTATGGACGGTTTAACGACCCGCACGCACGTTAACCTTTGTGTACTCATGAAAATTATGCAACTGCAGTTAATTATGACAAATGGTGAAAATGTTCGCAAAGGGTTAATTAGTGCACTGTGTGTGCAGTGCGTTTAATTGCGGCAGATTGACTTATTGAGTTATTGTAAGTGTTTCACTTAAGTGTTTCATAAATATTTCGATAAAAGGCTTACGGCTCGCATTTAAGCCGCTTTATTGCCCGATTATCGGGCCACAACGGCTGTTTTGGCCCTGGCCAAACTGTTGGCTTACAGCCGCCTTGTCCATTCATTAATAGATTGCCAATTGATTTGTAAACGGGCAGCTACTTATTTGGGAATTACTGAGAGCCAGAACGAACTTGTGGCCCACCCACATACACACACACACACATACACAGTGACACATGCCCAATAAGCTTAACAGGTCAGTTATGCAAATGTTAACCAAGGCACACACACACACACACACACACTCACAATATCCGAATTGTTTCCTTTGAACCATTTCTAATATCGACTTTTTCTTGGCTTATTGCCAGCACTGCGACAGCACTGGCTCTGGCATGTTGCCGCCCCATAGCAATGCCGGGGTCTCTGGTGGCATTGGCGGCATCAGCGTTGGACCCTGCGGTGGTCCTCAGGGCGCCGTTGACAAACCTTTTTTGCTGCACGATGGCCGCGTCGGCCTGAGGGCCAGCTTGGACAAGGGCTGGTATACGCACGGCGAGGATGTCAACGTTACGATCAATATACGCAACGATAGCCGCAAAACGGTGCGCAAAGTGCGGGTAAGTCGATTGGTTACCACTTACATTTAACATGCACTTAACATGACAATTGGCTCTGAGTTGCAATTGGCTATTCTACAACAATTTTTAATCGATTATTTGCTTATTATTTTGATTTTCTTTTCTTATAGTTTAAAGAATATTTCGGCTTTGACAGCGAGAGTGTAGACACAAGCATTATCTTTCTCGAAGCTGAGGCAGTATAATCTTCGCAATCTTTTCTCCCCTAAGAATCTGCCCGAATAGCCCTTTCTTTATTTTAGGCTTCTGCCCTGAACTTTCCAACACCCCCAATTTCCTCTACATTCACTCGAAACTGGCATTGTTCATCGCTTAGTGCCTTCGCTACGTTCTTATTGCCTGCTCGTCTGATTGTCTAGCTGTTCCCTTCTTTATTTCCATGTCACGTAGCCGCTGCCACAAATTATGCATACGCAGCGTTGAGCAAACTGTTGCATTTGACTGCAAGTCGTAAAGTATTCTATGAATAATTGGGTAGACTGGCTAGCAGCAGCAGCAGCAGCCGGCTGAGTAGCGTGCTGCTTGTTAAACACATGCTGCATGCCACATTCCACATGCTACATGCCACATGCACATGTGCTTACCGCGCGCCCCGTGCCAGCCTTTCAAGCCAGCTTCTAGTATTAAACGAATTATGGGAAACGGTGCCCACACTCATACACATAAACATACACACAAATACTCACTCACACACACGCACGTATGCATACAAAGGTTGGTCGATGTATATGATGTGGCGTATTAAAGGCCAGCTATTTGCCCCATTTGGGAGCAACTGACCGGCAAAGTTATGACAGTCAATCAAATGTTCACCGGTTAAGCAGCTTACAACTTGCAGCAGATGCCCCATTTGACTGTTATGGAAACGTAGCAATCTATAGAGGTGGAGAATGGAGTCCGGGGTGCCGCCGAAGACCCATTGAGTTGGTAGCCAGAAGTCTGCCCCTGGCTCCTGCTGCTGCGGGTCATTGCCAATTGGCTTACTACCCTATTGCAGCAGCCAATTAGATGGAATTTACGGCCCGTGCAACTTTTAGCTGATAAATTTCTATATGTATGCATTGTGTAAGGTGTGCAAATGGCAGAAATGTCGGCAAACGTAACAACAAGGTGTGAGCTAGTCGGAGGTGCTCGACTAAAGAATACCTTCTACCAACGATCTTCCCTCTTTGCATACAGGACCTTCTTCCCCTTGACAAAGTTTGGTGTTTGTATGCCATCCAAATGTCTGTACATATCAGAGCTGAAAGCTATGCCTCGACAAATGAGTATATTCTGTATCAGTGTATATCAGTCGCGAGCTCATTTCTTCATTTAGATAGACACTAATAACTAATAACTCTTATAAGGTCCAAGATATACCCAAGAAAGCGCAAATCGATAACGATTTTTATCGATGTCATGAAAAACATTGCATGTTTCGTTCGGCAGTAAAATTCTCAAGCTCTCTTGTGGCCCCGAGCGAGAGTACTCACACTTTTTGAGGTCAAGAGCAGCTCCTTTTATTTGTTACATGAATTTTGTACAATCCCGTTTAGGTTCAGGGCATAAATGGCTTACTGTAGACGTGCCGTCAAGGGGTAGCAGCAGGAAACAATACTTGCCTGGCAGCAGATGAAGTTCAATCGATTCGCAGCTCAATTTCCAATCCTATCAAATTTGCCTTCGAACAGTTTAATAAGCCCGAGAGGATGCTTTTTTAATTCGGACCTGTTCAGTGACTTATCAGTTTTCCTGCAGTTTGATGTAGTCATTGTTTAAAATGTTTTTTTTTTCTTGTTTTTGTTGTCTGCGGCTAATTATTTGCCTTCGAACAGTTTAATAAGCCCGAGAGGATGCTTTTTTAATTCGGACCTGTTCAGTGACTTATCAGTTTTCCTGCAGTTTGATGTAGTCATTGTTTAAAATGTTTTTTTTTTCTTGTTTTTGTTGTCTGCGGCTAATGGCAAATCCATGTAAGTCAATTGCTTGAGTTTTCATATGAAGTCTTATAATTCCGAATAATATAATGCCACGCCTAACGCTCCATGGGCGGTCACAATGTTCGACATTTACGTTCACAATCAAAATTAACGTAAATATGAGTACACACACACACGCACACACACACGCACGCACACGCACACAAACACTTCCACCCAACGAGGAACTCTTACATAAATAAATCAGTTATTCTGATACGGCCAAGTGCAAAGCGTCGTATTAATATTATAAACACGTACATTCCACACTTGTCTCGATCGGGTATATGGGAAAACGCATGCTGTTCAATTCAATAGATAAAGTCTGTTTGGGAGACAAAGAGAAGAAGAGCGCAATACAATTTAAGTGTTGTATAACAACAGAAAAAATAAACAAACAGTTATAGATGCTGTGTTAACGCAACAGAGGATTAGTTAATTAGCAGTGTTCTACAACAGTAAATGGAATAAGTTTATGTCGCACGGCAGGTCGTTTTTAGCACTAGAATAAATTAGGCAAAGCGCTAAAAGCTTTTTAGAGGTCAGCTTTATTTTTTTCTATTTAAATTGAAATTTGAAGCTCAGAAAGCTCTTTACGAGAATAATTTTAAATTATAATAAGTTTTTATTTGCATTGAGCTGTAATGCGTCTATTTATTGACTGCATCAGAAAGCTTTTGAATGAAACAATTTAAATTTTAATTGAATTTCATTCCACTCCAGTTCAGAAAAAGCTTAGAAGTCGGACAACTGTCGAATTCGGCTAAGCTTTTAAATGTGCTTATAATATGATTTGCATTGACTAAATAAGATAAAAGCTCCTTACCCATCCGCTGCAATGAAGTAAGCTAAAAGCTCATTGATCTCCCGATGCGATGAAGCAAGCTTAAAGCTCATTGACCACTCGCTGCAATAATGCGAGCTGAACGCTCATTAAACTCTGCCTGCCAAAAAGTCTGCTTAAAGCTCATTGACAACTCATTCTAACAAATTGTTTACATTGAAAAGCTTCATTTATGTTGAGTGCTTGATCAGCTTTCGCTGTGGATAGAGCTTGTAGGGTATGGAGATTGCGGTGTGACATCCATTGCCGCTCTCTGCCGTGTGGAGTGCAAAGTGCTGATTGAGCCTTAAGCTTTTAATAAACAGCAAATTAATATTACGCATACGCCATGTGAGCAGGCCGACAAACATAGCTGTTTATTTGTTGCTCTCGTGGTTTCTGCTGTTGCCTGCCAGCGCATAGAAATCTGGCTGACAAATCGAATGGCCCACTGAGAAAACACTTGACAAGCCGTTTTTGGTCACCAGCCTTTTCGCCGGAAAACAGTAGGAAACCCGAGCTAGGAGCTGGGAGCCAAACGTCGGCCGCTAAGCGGCGAATGCAAATGACGTTTGGCTCGGGAACTTAGGGCTTGCAAAATTGTTGAGCCCTTGGAATGTGCAATCTCTTGAGTGTTGCCACTTGAGAAAATTGAAAAAGGAAACAAGCTGAAGAAGAAGCAACAGCAACAGCAGCAGCAAAAGCCGAAGTCCTGCAAACCAGATGAACTAGCTGTGAGACATGAAGGAGCAGCAGGCAAATGGTTGGCGCTCAGCTAAAGGCTTAAGAGTAGACTGGTAAAAGAAGCTTACAAGTAGACTGGTAAATGTGCTTATACATTTTTTTTTTTTAATTTAAGGAGATACCGCACACACAGCACACACAAGCACACGTGTGCACGTAGACAAACGTTGTGCTTTTGTGCCTGCAGCTACTTTCAACACGCTGACAACCCCTTTTGCGTGAGCAAAAAGCAACAAGGCTACGCAGGGTCTGCTGGCAGGCAACACACTTACACAAACACACCCGCACACTTGAGTCACACCAATGGAGTGTGTGTGCTTGTCTGTGTTTGTGTGTGTCGAACGTATTAGCTGCGACTGTTGCCCACAAAAGTGTGCTACAATTTTACATTGTTAGTAAGTGTGGGCATGTGTGTGAGTGTGTGTGCCTTGTTGTGCACAGCTCACGCCTCTGACGGCTTCATCTATCTTTCTATTATTCGCTCTGTTTCTGCGCATTACTGCTTGATTCAAGTCAACTTTCTTTAACCATTTATTTTGGATACCCTTCATCCGCTATAAACGACTTCAAATAGGATATAGCTGTGCAACAGGTAGATCGCTGGAGATGTGACTGTAGAAGGCGTTCGTCTCATTTGCTAGATTCCTTAAAATTGTTACAGATACATCAATCGATGAAGAGGAAGAGAGAGAGAGGAAGAGAGAGAGAGAGAGACAGCATAGCTGCTTCCTCAAAGTAGGCACTGCTAGCTGCTAAAATAGGGTATCTGCAAGTTAGTCAGTCTCACCACAAGAGCATATAAGCTTGTTTTGTTTTGTTTTTGCGTACAGTTGCGATTAGAACAGCATTACTCGCCTCACCCCGTTCCCGTTCCCGTGCCCGTCGGCTGTTAAGTTTTGCGCAAAGCCAGTGCTAAGCCTCCTCCTTGGCACTCGACTCTGAACACTCGACGCACAACTCTCGACCGTCGACTGACGCACTTCGACGGATATCGCAATTCGCATTTTGCTTGAGCGGCTTAAAATTGGCTCGCTAAAAGCAAGAAAAAAATGCCACATAAATTCGAGCGGCTTCATTATGCAACCCAACTGGATGTCTATTGCCTGCTTCTATTATGACAAATGTTACATATACGCAACGTCAGCCACAAAAGCTAAGCCAGGTAGAGATGGGGATTGACAATGGAATTGTGGCCAGCAATGGAGGGGTCTAATTGGAAACGCAGCTACTGCAGTGGCAGTAGTTAGTTTTCCATAGCCATATGGCGGTAGCTTCCGGCCACTTGAAGTTAATGCAAAATGCAAAAGCATTTAAGAGCCGATAGCAAGATAAAGATGGAGAGGGACATAGTGTGTGAGCGCAAGAGAGCTGTTGCGTAAGCTATTGACATAACATAGACATTCCGCGTAAGTTATAAAGATGCCTAGAAATAAAGAGGGGTAAGAGAGGGA